CTATTCCCTGGCGCGAGCTGGGAGAGCAAACACTGAGAATGCTTGTAATTAACGGCACAAAAAGGCCCGATATATGTGGGTGGTCACAGCAGGAGAAAACAAAGATAAAACCAGCAGACAAAAAGAAGGTATTTAAAAATAAAGAGACGATTTCGTTATATTTTACGACGCAGGAAAAAAGACGATATTGGTGGGAATATTTGTTTAATGGCGGAACAGGAAACTCGGAGGTGAATATTAATGAGGTTAAACGTTGATATTTGAGGATTTCAGAATGCGAAATATTCCATGAATGAATCTAAAGTAGTGCGGCTACGACATATTTTACGGGAAAACATTGTGAGAAATGCACACATAATATATTTTCTCTTCACAAAGAATGTCGAGTTTCGCGTTCCAGCAAGACCTAATGCTGTGTCCTAGAAACTAAAATATATATAACAAAACTCTATCTAGAAACATTTCGGCTTCAGTGATGCTGTCAGCGTCTCGTATGGAGACGAGAGAAAATGCTTAAACAATTCCAGAATTTCGTTCTCCTGGAGCGAGGAATGTTTGCCGCTCAGAAGAATGTCACGCGGAATATAGTAGCACGGCAGGTAGGAGGCTTGGATGCCATTTTCATACACAGCAGCAAAATAAAATTGTTAAATAAAAGTTTATATACACCCAAGATGAAGTACAGTTGTATCTTAACTCCTGGTAGTAAACTGAGCTCATGAAAGTGGCATTGCCGGGTAATGTCTTAAAAGTGAATAATTAGGCATTCGCGGCAAACAATCCTGTGAAAGTGGTTGTAACAAAATTAAAATAAATATTAGGCTAATTCAGCTAAGATTACGTGATTATTGATATTTTTCAGCTTGGTTCTATATATAAGAGCTATAACTATTAGATCAAAATATATTTCTTTAGAGGACATTTAAAATTTATGATCAAAAGAACAACGAGAAGATCCATGATAGGTGATAACAGTCTCAAGAGGTGCATGAGAGCGCGAATTTATCTCCATGCACGAGATCTCACCTGAAAACCATAAAACGGTTAGGCGATCCACAGTTCACAAGTGATGAAAAACTGGTCTTCAGAGCCGTCGCAGACAGAATGAGGTTCTGATTATGGAAATTTGTGAGACTTTTAATGAAACAAACGACTCGTGCTAAATCCGAATGACACTTTCCGAACATGTGTGATCATGATGTTCGATCATCGTGCGTCTCAATGTTGAGGATTCATTCAACGTTTTCCGTTCTTTACATTCTTCGTGATGTTTGAAGACGATTCTCTGATTGTTGTGAGTTTCTATACACTGAATGAAGCGTTTCAAGGAAAAGATAAACGCCAATGGGAAAGATATACGTATCGGAGTACGGTAAGAAAGCGGGGTCCTATCATTGGAGAATGTAGATTCTTTCACTAAATCCAGACTAAACAAGAAGACGATGAACTTCTATGATAAAGAAAGCGAGCAGGAATAGGAAGAGCAGCGACGTCTGGCCGGCGGCCAAGCCATTCAAGCAGCCAAGCATCGGAAAGCCATCCCTTCGATTCCAGGCTCTGGCGGATAAGCAAAAACTCCGCGGTATTTCTCGAGGGAAATAATTGAATATCACTTGGACAAGAACGAACCTCCTCCAGGGCCAAGAACAGGATAAAATTCTCGTCTCGAAAGATGTTGAACTAAATTTAAATCTTCTGTAATACTGGTAGCTATTGTAAAAGTGAATTTCGCTTTTCTTTTATTAGAGACCAAAACAAGGAACAACGCGGACACACAGCGTACACGCATCATTAATGTACAAGTTCGAGTGATGCAAATATTTTATATAAATTGATGAGAACCTTATAGTGAGTTATAAAACTAAAACTGGACAGAAGAGATGAATTTAAGGATCTATGCGAGAGACACAATAACAATTGTATTCCGTATTTCTACAATTGATTGGTCTTACAGTCAAGCAGCGTATCGAACAAGGCCTTCCGTCAGTCTTCCTCAACTCAGGAAACCCCGTGAAAGCCGTATTCTTTATACATAGACAATTATAGACAAGTTTCACCTCATCCAGTTTCAAGAAGACCTGCAAAGAAGCAATAGTTTCATTTTTATCTTCGACGGTTCAGCAAGCTACTCAGATTCTCCTGACATTTACACCGCGAATCTGACCCTCGGTTTCACGAGGTCGCTCTAGGCCTGGGGTTAGAAGAAGAACCAAACGTGTGATGTACCTTAAAAATTAGAGAGATAACGCAGTCACACATTTATTGTACGGATTATAATCGCAACACCAATGACAAAATATTTCACCACAGCAACTAAAACATGACATTCGCTGCAAAACACTCGTAGAACTACACAGGGATACGTCATTGAAAACTTATGTCGTAATTGAACTTGAAGCAAACATTATGCTCGAAAAACACCAACATTTAGGTTATGTTGATTGCTAGCCAAACTTGGCCAATTCTTCAACGCCAACAATTCTATACGACTATGAAATAAAACACCGATACGCTCCAGATGCAGTCTCTTCCGCAATTAATTTTCACGAGCAATCTTGAACCCTTGAATCGATCGAGTACGCATGTAGAAAGTACTTGAAATCGTACTAGACGGTCTAGACCAAAGGTTTTAGGGTGCAGCAGGAATGCGTCTTGCCCCACTCAGCCAGAAGATCCAATAGTCTTCATACACTCGCTAGAGACAGAAATCCCGTAGAGACATGCAGAGCTTCCACATCCGAAAAATGTTAGGAAAAATGCCCATTTTCGGCCATCTTGCGAACGCGCAGAACATCCATGGACAACCCTTTCCGAGCTCGTAACCCACGAGCACCTGCCTCACTCTTAAGGGCGCTCGATAGCTCTTCACCGAACCCCTCATAAAAAGAGTCGCTGTAAAATTTTCGAGCCACTGGGCCGAATAAAAGAACTTGAACCCAAGACCTGTCGGAAATAGAGCGAGCTACGTGTCGCTTTGTGTATGATGCTTGGTTGACCTCGTGTGACACGTCAAACTATTGAAAGTGAAAGGCGCTTTATGAGCCAGGTTTTGTTAGACGATTTTACGATGATCACGAGCTCATGATTACACTTGTAAGCGTGATTTATGTATATGTTTATTTATAATGAATTTCGCAAGTTATAATATTGGAGCAAAACTCAGATGATTCGGTGCTGTTTCCGCTAATGTCATTCTAACTATTTGTTAGCCGTATGAGTGACAAAGCTAAACCCTAACATTACTCGCTTGTTAATTTCATTATACCTTAATTACATCATTTCTTCTTACGAAAACATAACAAAGTTCATTAACCTCGGCGTAGACAATCATGGCAGGCGTGCGTGAAGGGCGAGTCAGGCACTATTTCAGGGCGGGCAAACAAGAGACGAAGACTCCATTAGAGTATTGGTCCCGTCGCTTACGTCACCCACGTCGCCCACGCGGTAAATAGGCGTCGCGCCTTGACCGACACTACGCTTAAACCTTCAGTAATTCAAGAAATGTTTTTTTTTATTGACGCGCCGGCAATCCAAATATTCTATGAAATCTAGATGATCGTATGCTATGAATTCCATATGTAATAAAATATGCACATATTCCTATGGTAAACATGTGATGGCATGGGCATATTTGCATGTATTTCGTTCAAAAAAGCCTTAAATGACTTAGAAGTCAACTGACAATGGCGTAAAATGCAGGGGAGAGTAAATAAAAATAAAAGACTATATGAATGACACAGGAGATAAACAACAGTAACAGTTTTTGCGCTTCTGGTGCTGGGTTTTCCAGAAAAACATACAATCGAAGGCCTAGGCTTGCGATGTAAGTAAAAAACAAGAACTATATATAGCACCTAAACTGTCATCAAAATTGAATAAACGGGCATTTGATCACCTAAAATAGCATCGAAAGTGAAAAAGCGGCTCTTGATCACCAAAACATACATCAAAAGTGAAGAAAAACTGATACTTCAGCCCCTAAACTTGCCTCATAAGTGAAAAATAGGCACAATAGCACCAAAACTTGCATTAAAAGGGAAAAAACAGGCACGTGAGCCCCTAAACTTGAATAAAAGTAAAATAACTCGCAGTTGAGTATCAAAACCCGCAATAAAAGTGAAAAAACGGGCACAATTGAGCCCCTAAACTTGCATCAAAAATGAAAAAGTTGTGACGTCGCGCCGCTCGTTGCATGCATTGCAGAGATCAAAGCCTAACCCGAAAGGCACTCGATGGTAATGACAACAGCGGCTGTTGTAATAGCGGACGAGGACGCATGGACTGAGCTTTGATCAGGCGTATAAAGATTGCATTATATAAAATATATTTATTAGTAAATAATATGATTCTTCGCACTGAGAAATCATGATGGACCGAAATGAATTAAAATACATCAGTTATCATCAAGGGATATCATGACGCCATACGCCATACAACCTGTATACCAATGACGCCTTACAATAAGACCCTAATAGCGGAATTAACCTTAATAACTTTGAGGAAAGTTGTAAACCAATATCAGCATCAGTTAGGATAATACGAGTATTTTAATACAGTTCAGCATCGCTCAACTCTTGGGATAATACGAGTATTTTAATACAGTTCAGCACCGCCCAACTCTTGGGATAATACGAGTATTTTGATGCAAGCAGAGAAGCCGTGCATGGCCGCAGGGCAGCTGAATCATAAAAATTTGTTCACAAATTCTTTTCACCGATAGACGTTAAATTTTAGCGCAATACATTAACAAAATCAAAATTTTGAATGCACGGTATAGAAGGCTTTGCGTAGAAAATAAAAATGAAATCTTTCAAATTGGCTGGAAAATGTATACGTTTACTAAGTAAAGCCAGAGATAAAAGCTTTTCAAATAAATTTAATACAGGATTGTAAGCGGCAAAGTTAACTAATTCAAATGATATCGAAAATGTATGTTAGTATCGATAAATATTGCTCACTAAATACAGCGAATAATATTTTGACGGTTAAACCATCATCACCTTGGCACGTCGCTCGGCGGCGATGTAGCCGCGGCTGTAGGGGCTGATGTAGGAGAAGCGTCGACGAGGGAGCTCGGGGGTCAGAGGGAACGAGAGGGGACGTGATGCCCCTCGTGTGCGTGCCACCAGTTGGGGGTTGTAGGGGAGTGAGAGGAATGATTGAGGGGAATGAGGGGACAGGGAGGAGCGAGAAGAGGGAGATAGGAGCCCGTTGATGCCTCGGCTGCTAATGAAACTGGCAGACCTGCAAGACAAAAATTATCTTCGTTAGGGCGCTAATCGAATGAAAATTAGTCCAATCCAAACACTCGGTCATGCTCGGAAAAACTGGCTTACCGTAACCTTACACGTAAAAATATCATAAATGTTTACTATAGATTACTAAATAAGTGTGTGAGCTTTGAAAAATGTTACAATGAAGCGCTCACAAAGAAAATCGCAATATTCTAGGATGATATATAACAGAATTTAGTAAAATCCAGATCTGAAAACGCAAATATCCTTTTGTTCGCACACCAAGCTTCCTGGTTTCAGCTGTCAATAGTCACATTCAGGGGCAGAAATTAAATTAGATTTTGCTCTAAATAAATTAATCCAGTGCGCAGCCATGCAGAAACACCAAAATTCATCCAGAAAAGTTGCAGCCACCATTTCGGGTGGAACGCAATCCGCTTCCGGGCATCCTCGCCAAATGGTGCGGAACATGAACAAAAAAACTCTTCTTTCCGCCAAACGGGAGACTCGACATTAAAAGGAATATCACATTTCCAAATTATCGGAGACAAAGTGCGTTTGCAGATAAAATTTTAACGAGAAATTTTGTACTGAAATTTGGTACCGGGGCAAGATTCATTCAGGCAACTTGCGTGTCATGCATCACTGATGGGACGAAATTAAATAGGTAGTAAGATGAAATTTCATTTTATGAACCTTTTTTTTATTCATTTTGCAGTGTATTTATAACTTTTCTGCATACGAAATAAATGTTTAGACCCTTATTCTTCTTTTTAAACAACTAATCCCGAAAACATGTATATTTCTGTAGAGCGCAACTTGAAATGTTCCCGATATTCCAATTTAATTGTACGAAGTGAAACAAATTCCTATCTTAACTTTGAGCTCAACTCCTGTTATAGACAAACAAAAAGCATAATCACCCACATTAAATTTGAAGAGCAGTAAGTACAATGAATAGTTCAAGATATTTTGTCGTTGTTATTCATGAAATTGATTTGTACTGCAAAAATGGGAAAAAAGTGAACAATGAAAAAATTTCCTCTCTTAACTTTGAGCTTCACTCCTGTTATAGACACACGAAAAGTTTAATCTCCCAGATTAAATTTGAAGAGCAGTAAGTACGAAGTTAAGTTCCAGAAATTTTGTCGTTGTTATTCCTGAAATTGATTTGTACTAGGAAGGCAGTCTTGCGGAAAAAAGTCTGCAACGTCAATGAATAAAATAGCTAATCAGGCAATAACTTTTGATAACTTCGTGTTCATCATTAGTTAAAGAAAAATAAGAAACAGCATTACCGAGCAACCTTTAGTTTATTAATTGATATATTCGCCTTGAAAGAGCAAATTTAAATATGAAAACACGCGACTTACTTCGACCGAATTTATATACATTTCTTTCTAATTCATGCAATGCGTGGTTCTCGATACATAAAACTTACCATGAGAGCCCCGCTCGAGTTGGCGTTTAAATCAGAATCCAGTTGAGACAGATGGGCACAGACGCTAAACCGTTTATTGAGGGGCTAGTATCTAGAAAACGAACTCGGGCAAATTCGGAGCCTGCGAGAAGCGAACAACCCACATTTAATTACCAGGTACACAATCGTGCTGTTTACGCGCGAGCACTTGGACATAAGAACGATTGTTTGGTAAGAGGAAAGGTATTTTGTCCGCTCAATATCATGGATTCAAGTAAAACACTTGGAAAATACACATTTGCTATCTCAGGAAAACATATCATATGTGGAATAGTCACAGATTCTAAAAACAACCCGTGCCAATTTGAGGTAGAAAAAACCCAGCCATTAAAAAATTATCTTTACCTTACTAGTCCCCCCAACTTCTTGTATTGTAATTCAGGACCTATTAAAAATCTATAAAGTTACAAAATTTACCACCAGACATCTCCTCCATTTAAAAATCTATATAGAAAGTTTTATGATTTTATTTGAATTATTGGGCGCTGTTTTAGACATTTTTGTCATCAATGGTAATGGAATAAACTTCAAAAAAAAATTTTGATTATTTTAAGGTAGCCCTACCTAAACTTTATGTTTACCATTAACTTCAACTTTGATATTAATTTAATATGTTCATTCAACAGGTGTTTTTTTTTCATTTAGCATAATTTTGCTTGCTACCTAAAAACTACCAGCATTACAATTTTTTAGTATATACACAAGTAGTACACGTGAGGTTTGGCACTAATTCTACAGTGCTAAGTGTCATTCTTAAAAAAAATGTTATTTAGAGACTGGCACTAAATGGGCCGATGTAGAAAAGCCCTTAGTGATATCTTTAGTGAAGGCGCTACTGTGGCCAGGTAGCCGTGAGTTGAGCACCACTTTCCTGAAAGTCCAACACCCAATTCCGCAACTTTCTGCCATAAATTGTTGTCTCTGATTCTTGAATCTCTGCCTATTCAGCACGCCCAATGCTCGAGACAGCCCTGCGTAATGAGCGAGGTAGGCTAAGAAGCTCGTTACGACGCCCGTTTTGTCAACCCTCGACCATTTGACTTTTGATTTCTGACGTCTGCTCGGTGCTTGCTTAGTGCCGGCAGCAAGCTGCACGATTTGAACATTAGGACCGAACCATTAATCCTGCCAACAGATGAGCAGGAAAATGTCATCAATTATGGACGGAAACTTTTACAACTTTACTACTTTATCACTTAGGTGAAGCTTTAAGTGTCAGCATCATCCATATACCCTTTAGTAAATACGAAGATTAAACCGAGCGAAGAAAACTCTATCTTGAAGCAACAAGCCCGAACACAGAGTGATATCAAATTTAATATATTCTATTAAATAATGAATTCTATTAAAATGAAGGGAGTAACTTAAATTATGAGAGCAAAACCCGAAGACTTATACAACTAAAATTTTCATTTCAATCAAGTGATAGTGCTATAAATGCTGTTCAGACAAATATTACACGAGCAGCATTAGCCAAAAATCGAAATAATTAATTTCAAGTCATCTAAGACTTGAGTAAATGTGTTTCCAGTGAAAAAAATGTCTCAAAAAATCTGTGAAAATAATATTGAACCAGACAAGTTCAGCTGAAATTAAATTGTTTACGTGAACGACAATGCCTGACCCAAATTCATATTTAAATTTTTAAAAAACAAATAACTGCATAATCAAAAATAATAGAGAAAAAACACATATCTTACTGATATCCCGTCATTAAAAGAGTGAAAGCACAAAACTCGCACTCTCGGGTTCGTCTGATAACTTCTCTTTGCGCAACCCATTTTTCCAACAAGACTCGCCACCATTTTATTATTTTCGATAAAGGAGCAAGATGTTTTCTGGAGAACGCAACAGTGTGGAGAACTCGAGTCTCTCCATCGCCCCGTTAACACCAGCAATGTCAGGAGTAATTTGTCTCCCCCGGACACCGACAAATGGTGGTGTGCATGGCCAGCAATCCTGACCAAACTGTACAGTACATAACGTAATGGCTACGCAATGCATCAGTACTGACATCGAGGGATGCGCTTCACTTGCAAATCAACGATAGAGAACTCGATCTGAACAACTGGCGACGTGGATTAGATTCACTTGCAGAACAACGATAGAGAACTCGATCTGAACAACTGGCGACGTGGATTAGAATCACTTGCAGAACAACGATAGAGAACACGATCTGAACAACTGGCGACGTGGATTAGATTCACTTGCAGAACAACGATAGAGAACTTGATCAGCACGACTAACGACATAGATTCGATTCACTTGCGGAACAACGATAGAGAACTCGATCTGCATTTTCTATTGGCATGAATGCGCTTTGCTTGCAAAACAAAGCATGAAATTTTTTGTAATAAATGGTGGTAGCAAGCATCAAGATGCAGTTAATAGGTCCAATCGGTCATATAATAATCCTTCTCTTACTTAGTATATCAGCACATAGAAACATTGTCATGTGTTCTGATAAGTTAGATAATTACTAGAGCAATATCAGCTGATGCATATCGAAATTAAGTAATTAAGTATATTTCTGGAATAGGTAAGGTTCACTGAAAAACAAAAATGTATTCTCTTCAGTTAGTTCCATTGCACGAGATGCCACAGAAGCCACGTAGGCGAGTAATACCCTGAGCAAATTGTGGGAGACTTTGTTCAAATATAGATGTACTTTTTTCCATCTGTAGGTCATCTTGATAGCGTTTGTCCCAGCGTAAGGACGTATCGGTGTTACGTGCGGAAACTGTGTCACTGTTGGGACAGTATGACCCATCAATTTTTCTAAGTGATAGGAAGATCTCGTAAAAAAGTTTTTTTGCCGCTGCATATAATGTGGTGCAGAGACTCACAATGAAATAAATATGACGTCTCCTTTTCATAAAAGAAGGCTAGCTTTAGATGTGCCAACTGCAACCATGCAGCAATTGGGAAATTTTATATTTTATGATGGGAGTGCAGCAGAAAACAAGTACAAGTAGAGTAAATAGTGTAGTGTATAAAACATGCAGATAGAACGTGTGCATTTTTTTACCTTTGCGTAGATCCATAATGGTGAGCATTGAATTTCACTTAACGAAATGACCTCATTAATTGACGCTAAAATTCTACTTAGAAAAATTGGTTCAATTTAACTTTTATGTGTGTATTATTATCAGAATTTTGTTTGAAAATTTAAGCTGGAAATTTTTAAACCTGCGGATGTTTCGAAACATTATACATTTTCGCTCTCTGGATAGCGGCCGAGTTAAGCTTCTTTGGAATTAGCAACCTTGAAAGAACTTTTAGAATAATCTCAATTAAGTGTTGACTTCATTGTGATATCATTATAATTAGGTTCATCACTAACATTTCATGCACTGCAATCACGAAAAATCTTTTATTGCAAGTACGTATGTTGAATACGAAGACAATTATTCTGATAATCCATGTAATGCTAATTGTATCATGTTCCATGTAATGCTAATAATAATCCATGATAATCCATGTTCTGTAATCCATGTGGTTTGTCTTAACTCCGGTACTGCGATTGAAGAGAGCAATAAAGACCACTTCAATAAACTAGTCAAAGAGCGATGAAGACGGGCAATTACGCACTTACGAGTATTACGATAATCCCTTTTCATAGTTCTCTTTACGAAAATACTTCGATTGAAAAGAGTTCTAAAAAGACCATGCATGCACTGCAACGAACTACTCAAAACCGCATTAAGGACGACTAAGAGTCAGCCATTCATCGATTGTCCCTAACCGCCTTGGATTTTTTGTCAACAGTGAGAAGGGAACCCGCCTTGGAGTTTCTATCAAAAGTGAGCGGGAAACCCTATTTGGATTTCCTGTCAATGTTGATCCGGAAACTCGCCTTTGATTGAAAGGGGAAGAGTGAAAAGGGAACCTAGCTTGGATTCCCTGTCAAGCGTTAGCAAGAAACCCGCCTTGGATTTTCGATTCTAAGTGAGCTGAGAACTCACCTTGGATTTCCTGTCAAGCGTTATCGGAAAACACGCCTTGTATTTCCTGTCAAACGTGAGCAAGGAGCCCGCCTTGGATTTTCTTTCTGAAGTGAGCTGGGAACCCACCTTGGATTCCCTGTCAAGCGTTATGGGGAACCCGCTTTGGATTCCCTGTCAAACGTGAGCGAGGAACCACACGCACCTGAAGAGCGCCGCGGGACGGTCGATAGCTCGGCTGGTTGAGGCAGCGTCTGGAGCCAGTGTCTTGTCGAAGGCTGGAGTCCCCGACACGGAGCCTGTCCTGCGGTGCCCTCCGCTCATCATCGAGGGTCTGGGACCTCTCAGGGACAAGGAGCGATTGAGGCGCGGGATGCGTGAGGAACTCGAGCGACAACTTGAGGACGAAGGAGGCCGCTCCTCAGCCATTCCTGAAAAAACATAATATATTCAAGTGAAAAAGCTGCACGATTACCTGTAAAGAAAATGGAAAAATTAATAAGATTGTGTCGTGGGTTTTTTGATACGTTATCTACCTCGTCCAATGTTTTGCAAACTGAACATACGTGATGAATAATGCTTTGGTAAAAAATAGGCACCATTTAATCCGATAATTTACCTCTACAATTTCACAATTAATTGAATTTCAAGAATATAACGATGATAATTTATAAAAAACGAATTATTCTACCTCATAGTAATAAATCACTGGAAAATTACTTTTCCTTAGTAATAGTTCTAGTCTTCATAATTTCTGAAAATTGCAGCTGATCCACGTAGTAAAAATCATTGTGCTCCTGCATCAACTCCCTCGACTGTTCAGCCGTCTCCACCATTGTGAGCGTTGTCATCCGAGCTCCTTTTGTAAGCTAAGCGCGCTTTCCTCCGACTCAGATGATGCGATAAGCGTTCAGCCAAAGTAATTAATGAACATGATTAGTTACTGCCAGCAAAAGCCCCACGACGCACGGACGTCCATTCCAGCTGAGCGTTTCTTTCTCTGACGCTGCATAATGACTGCCTTTGATCTAGCAAGCAGGACGCGAAAATGCAGCGCATGAAGGATGAAAAGTCGACACAGTTCTGCAGAATCTTTGAATCGAGCAAAAAATGCCTGAAGCGTTCCCGTAAAGCCATGTTGAATAATGCTCGAGAGATGCACTCAGGACAGATTTTTTTATAATGAATAGTTATAAAGTAACACGCGTGACTAATATTTCTGCGATGGAACTTTCAAACAAGAGAAAACTTAAAAAACGTACTTAAAAAAACAAACTACCCTCCAAAAAAACAATTATCAAAAGAAATCATATTTTTTATTCCGGTAGAACCTCAGAAAATTTTTGTCTATCAGCTTATTTAATCGTAATAAAAATAAATTAGAAGTGAATCTTTGCCCTGAACGTGAATTGCGTCTAGTCACATTTGAAGGTCCCGAACAGATCGAGACGCGAGTTACGAAAGACAAAATTTGCCGTCCCTCCAAGACCAGGAAAATCGAGGCAATAAGACAGCGGTAGCCGAGCCAATGGAGGGACAGATTGATCTCTGACGCTCGGATGCTCCAGAAAAATGATGCTATAGAGAAGGCCAAACTGTACGAAACTATTTTAATACTTCCTAAAACACGAAAATGATCCTATAGCGAAGGCCAAAACTGTAGGAAACTATTATTTTTTTAAGACACAGAAAAGTGACGCAAACAAGCACGGTAACTACCTTCTATTAAAAAACGGAGCTCAAACTATCGCTCACGGAGTGTAAAACAAAATTATTACAAATAAAATTCAATAAAACCGTCGAGAGAGACAGAACGTTCACGGTAAATATTATCAGTGGCTCGAAATGTCGAGGTTGTCAATGTCTACCAACTAAAAAAGCTTGATGACTTTCCGGATGTAGTCACATTTCATCCAACGCCAGCGAAAATTATTTAAACTTGGGCGGAATTAATCAACTTAAATCTAGTGAATCTGAGTTTTCAATCAAAACTTCGCTGCATTTCAAAGCCAATTCATGGTCAGGGAACAAATTTCATGGACCATTTCAGCTTGAAGAGACATTCTATTTTGCTCCAAAAATGGAACCCAAAAAAATATGTATATACAGTATATTTGAATGGATTTCAGTTGGGCTAAAATTCCATAAGAATTTTTACCCACAATCGCAGCCCCAGTGACTCCGAGATTGCATTAGAACGAACTTTTTTGAGTTGAAAGTTCTCAGAGAAATCCACTCAGCTCACCGATTTCTTCGTCAAGAGATAATCTTGGGCAGCACTAAGTTCTTCCGCGAAAAAAAAATCAGTAGTTTTATTGGAATGGGTGCCCCCAAGATCTACTTTGACATCAAAGCTTTCATAACAAATGAAAATAATTAATGAGGAAAATGATTGATTGTCTCAAAAATAACTAAGAGCATTAAAGAAAGAACCGACACTCCCGAGAGTCGGCATGTCAGCCGAGCGAGAGGTAAAGTGACAAGTCTAAATTTCATGTTTAAAGCAAATCTGTCACATTAAGTATCAAGCAGAAGCAGTCATGAATTTGTCCAACATGAATCTTCATCTACATTTGAAACACATTTGCAAACTAATGTGATTGCTGCCTCTAATTGGGCTTTTGACAAATGATGAAGAGCGGCTTTTAATTAGATGTCAATGAAGACCCGGACCAGAGCTCATGCATGTGGCCGCATAAATGATCGTCGGCAGACTCAATTCTAGGCAAGTAATTAGATTTTAATTAATTAGATGTTTGATGTAAAATGCCGTTAGTGTTACGGCTCGAAGGTGTCGGTGAATGGTTAGTATTATTAGCATTACATCAAGCCGCAGTAGGCAGGTTATGAGGGTAGCATCTCGCAGGCGTTGGTAAGTAATGAGTATTGCGCCTCGGAGGTCTTGAATGGCAATTCATGGCCGTCAAACCTCGAAAGTGTATAGGCAAATCAAGAGTGCAAGTGTCACGCAGGAAATGAATGTTACTTTTTTCGACAATTCCAGCAAAAAAAGCGCTCGCATATTTCATGGAAAACCACACGCCAGAGATGACTCACTAGTGATGCATAGAAACGGATTACTCATTGTGGTGACGGTGAATAAAAATATCAGATTCAATATTCAATAGCGATTTCTAGACGATTCAGATAACTTCAACAACAGATAAAATTATATAAAAATACGCCTACGTAAACCAATAAGAATTAACATCAAAAATTTGTTTAGATGGAATCAGTCACACTTTTCTAATATAGATGTGTCTACAAATGGATGAGCCGCACAGGGAAAACCTAAATTAAGAAGACACTTCGCCTGCATAGCCCCACATCGTGAATATCGAAAGGGAACGCCACGCATTCTATTTAAGATCTAAGAGTCCAGTGCTGCAGTCAGTTCGTAAGAGAATATGTTGTTATTCGCAGTCAGGCTATTTCTATCGAATTCCTGAGAAGCGACAATTCAATCCGCCGCATTTTTGTCTAGCGGCCACCGACTCAAATTTGTTAGGGCGAAGTAAATGCTTCGGGTTATAGCAATCCCGGCTTGAATAGCTAAAAAATTCATGAACTGTGATGGAAAACAATTATTTTTACTTACTCTTTTCTGCCAAGCAGTCAAGATTCAACAATTAATCATATGACACGCGGTACCATTACACAATTTATTTCAAATGAAATAAACTGGACATGAAAGAAAATGCTAAGTGGGCATTGATGAAGGGCTAACTGAACATGAATAGAATTACCATGAGATAAGAGGAGAAAATGATGGACATGAGAAGCAAGTTTGTTAAACATTAGAAAAATGCACGATGGATATGAGAGCAAACTTGCATGAAAGGAGCGAAACTGAACTTACAACGCGAGTAAGTCGAGCTGAAAAGAGGATAGAACAGGGCATAAGAGGGGAAAAATTGCAAATTTACCACCGTTGTCAGAACTTCCATCGTTCTTGTAAAATTTTTGTAGTTGCCAAGATTTCAGTTTCTTTGCTTCGTTCGGATTTGTTTTTGCGTTTGATGCAGCTTTATATATGTGTTGTTAATTGTAGTTCATTCCTCCTATAGGTCAAGGAAAGGACCAATAATATTGAAGGCCGTGAGGCTCATTATATATTTGGCGACTTCGGTCTAGCGACGACTGCCAGCTTCCGTAAACAGCAAATCTTGAATTTAAAATATGTATTTTACACTTCGCCATTTATCAATTTTGTGCTTCTCTGGAACATGTTATGACATATGAAAAACATATGTTTTGGAATATGTTTTTTGAATTATTTTCTTAAAATTTCTAGGGTATTCTTGAAATCAATGAATTGATAAAATTTAAGTTATTCATGTACCACCTCATTTGCTCATTTCGATATTTGCTCCAATTCGTTCATCAACACCGATTTGGCCTGATGCAGTAAGGTTTTTTTTTAATTTGAATATGAAATACTTACTATATACGGTATTATTTGACATCAAAATAGTATCTAGGAATGAAATGTTCCCCCCTCTGATGCAAACCTGGGAGCGAAAAACGAAAAATTCGAGACGTTTGAGAGCTTTTGCTATTTTTGTACCACTTCACAATGGCTGGTCGGCTCTATGGATTCAAAGCTTAAGTCTGTATTTGAGCCAAAATATATAGAAATGGATGCCTGCACCAAACTCCTCACAAACAAGTTGAACATGAGAGCTGAAAAAACTGTAAATTAAAATAGATTAAGTTGGAAATGGAATAAAAGCAAACTGGACGCGAAAGAAGAAATAGCTGGACACAGGAGATGAGTAACAGGATATCGGAGGAGAGCAAATTGGACATGAGAAGAAGAAAAATGGACATAAGAGTAGAACAACTTGATCTTGATATGAGAGAAGAGCATTTGGACGTGAGAGAAGAGCAACTGTACATTAGAGGAGAGCAAGCTGGACATGAGAGAAGAGCAAACTGGACATGACAGAAGAGCAAGCTGGAAATGAGAGAAAAACAAACTGGACATGAGAGAAGAGCCAATTGGATATGAGAGGAGAGCAAACTAGCTGGACATGAGAAGAGAGCCAACGTACTAGCTGGACATGACAGAAAATCAACTGTACATGAGAGAAGAGCAAATGGACATGAGAGAAGAGCATACAGGATATGAGAGGAACATTGAAGGATAGCAAATCTGGACATGAGAGGAGATAATCCTCGCACGGTCCTAAATGCCCGCGCCGACGTCGGTCTTGGTACGGAGCGGTGGCCAGAAGTCCTGAACGGCGCTGACAGGCAGCTCTGCCGCGGGTGATAAGTCCCAAGAGGAGGGCAATCGAGGCGACCATTGCGGGTGTCGAGGGAAGATGTGGGTGAGAGCTTCCTAATTGGGACGAAGAGAGCCCATCCAGGGTAACATCTTGAGGAATGTCACGAGTTACTCGCCTCTAACTCCGAGCTCAGCCTAATT